TAAATTGTTAAAATTGAAAAATAAATAAATAATTTAAAAAGTTATTAAAAGTAAAAAAAAAAGATAAATTATTAAAAGTTAAAAATAAGTATTTAAATTAAATAAATAATTGAAAATAAAAAATTAATTAATTAATTAAATATATTGTTAAAATTGAATAATAAATAAATTTAAATAAATAATTAAAGGTGAGAAATAATTGAATTAATTAAATAAATTGTTAAAATTGAAAAATAAATAAATAATTTAAAAAGTTATTAAAAGTAAAAAAAAAAGATAAATTATTAAAAGTTAAAAATAAGTATTTAAATTAAATAAATAATTGAAAATAAAAAATAAATTAATTAATTAAATAAATAGTTGAAAGTGAATAATAAATAAATAACTTGAATAAATTATTAATAGTTAAACATAAATAAATAAATTAAATAAATTATTGTAAGTGAAAAATAGATAAATATGTTAATTTAAGCGATTCAGGTTTAGATGTACACGTTATGGCGGCCGAGGAGCAACTGACGTGTCCTGTGACCGCCAAATGCCTATATGAACTGAGGGTATCCTTGCCGAGGTCAAACGGAAGTTCACGAGCTCAATCGATTCTCCAAACATTCTCTAACGTTGTAGTGATCACAAACACAAATACGTAACGTAACGTGGAGTAATCATGGAAAGGGAATGAATAATACTTCAGTTTAAAAATCAACCTAGAAAGAAAATTTGATCTTTCATGAATAATGTTCTCGATGAAGAATTTATTAACAATAAATAGCCTGTTCAACGATAGTGTCTAATATTGTCGTCTATACGCGACTCGTATACGTGACAATTTCGCGTCGTAAAACTTTGGTATCGATCTTTCATCGACCTATTAACGAAACGGATGAATAAGTTCGATCGACGATAGAAGACGAGAAACGAAATGGAGCCTTCGGAAGTGACAGAAATAATTTTATGTACCCTTTATGACTTTTGAATTTTATTTGTTACAAGAACATTATATTGCAGGGAATGTCCGAATTCGGAGATGTTACCGAAATATCGGATTATTATTCCGACTATTATGAAAGTGAATGGGAAGTCCTGGAAGATGAAGAGGATGAAGAGAAAGAGGAAATGGAAGACAAAGAGGAGGAAGTGAAGGAACCGGAGGAAGTAGATATTTTTGCAGACTTGCTAACGGAATTTCGACATAGTATAGCCGAAAAGAAGATGGCCAAAATTATAGCGGAAAAAGATATGCTACAAAAATTGATCGGGGTAATTCCATTTTGGTAATAGTAATTTGAACCAGACAAACGTACATTTACGAAAGAATGTAACAACGAATGCTAACCTTAAATCTGCAGGTAAAAAAGAAAAAAGATGTGTCGGAAGAAACACTGATCACTCTAGAAGAGGCATCCATCGTTTCTACAGAGTCATCCGCAGAAAGTTCTATTCATCCTTGCCTGAAAGATATAGATATTAGCGATTCTCAATTGAAATTGCAAAATCTATACACGGCGTTTCCAATTCCTGACGATCCTGGTTTGGTGCCAGCATTCTGGACCATTCACGAACGCCGAATTACTTATCCAGAGGATGGAGTGATGAAATTTTTCTATTTATCAAAAACATCTCGTATCAGGCCGATAAAATCGTTAGAAGATATGTTACTATCTGATAAAATCAATTTACAGTATTATGGAGTCAACTCACGTGTTATTAGACCACTTTGTGAAGCTTTAATGAAAAATCCTCTCGTACATACAATCAATCTTACAGTAAGATAAATATATCTAATCCATAATATAAATTACTGTATGTAATTGAATACGTTCTTTATATTCTGAATATTATTCTTTTTATCAGAACTATCTTTATTGATTAGCGTTCTTAATAGAAATTAATCGATATTGACAACAACAAAAAATAAGAAACTTGCGATTTTTGCTTTAAATAATTATTCCACAGGGTAATTGGTTATTAGAGGATGCTTGTTATCATTTAAATGATTTACTTCTAAAAAACAATATGGTACATACTTTAATATTATCAGGATGTAAAATTGGTCCAAATGGGATCGCGAAACTTCATGATGGAATTTCGACGAATGTAACATTAAAAAAATTAGATCTCTCCGATTGTAATATTCGTAACGATGGTTTTGATCACATTACAAAAGCAATATGTAATAATGAAAGCATCGAAACCCTTTTACTGAACGATAATCATCTTGACGAATCTTGTTCGGATGCTTTGCAAAAATTATTCTGCTGTTCGAAAACGTTGAAAAGTTTAAGATTGTCATGGAATTCTTTATATACTGTGGAAACCTGGAAAAAATTGATCAAAGGATTCGAGAATAATGAAACTTTAGTCGATTTTGATTTATCTTGGAATGCTTTAGGAAAAGAATGTGTTCCATATCTTCGTCGATTATTGTTACGTTCTTCATCACTGAAAAAGTTACACTTAAATGGTAATATAATGGGGTAAACCCTCATATAGGTTCCATATAACCACTCACGATACAAAATATTTGTAATATTTTTTTTTATGCATGTTTTAAACGTATCTAGGAAATAGATTTTACGATGAAGATATAGCAATTATCGCAACAGGTCTATCAAGAAATAAAACACTCGAGGAATTATATATAGGTAATAACCCTTTGAAAGTAGAGGGTGCATTTACTCTCGTTAAAGCAGTTAGTCCGGAAATATCACCCGAAAGTCCACTACGTATTATGGATCTTACAAATATTTGGGCGAACAAGAATATATTACCAGAGCTTGAAGCAATTCGAAATAATAAACCGTGGCTCGATATTAATTTGGGAGGAATATTTAGTAACTACAAGATTGGAAATCCAGATATAAAAGCGATACTTTTAAAAAGAGCCAACTATGAAGCTATGAAACCAAAGAAAAAACGACATCGAAGAAATTTCGGTCACTTCGTCTTATCACTTTCTGATAATCTCCTTCCAAAAGGTACACAAATGCAAAAATGATATAATATTTAATCTTAATAAAATATAATTAACGTTATAGCAAAGTTTATAGAACTGGTAAAAAAATTTCGACTAAAATTATCTCAATCTCTGATCAATGAACTGATAATTGCATTTGCTGGTACAAGGCATACCATCGATCAAGGACTATTAAAATCTATTTATATGGAACAGTATCCCAATACTAAACTTCCATTGGAAAAGACTGTTAGAAAAAGAAAAATTAAAGATACGAAAACGAAAAAAGAAACAAAGATAAAAACTAAAGAAAAAAAGAAATTATGATAATGAATTTTAAAGTCTATTGTGATATTTTAACTTTAATAATTTAAATAAAATACAATGATATTAGAAGTGTATTTTCTAATAAATATGAAATAAACGTATTAAAAAATTACAATACTAACAATGTAAGTTGTAAAATTCAATACATTTCTTAATAATTAGTCTATGTAAAATATTCTAGCAGAAATATCATCAACAATCCAATTTATTCCTTCTACGAGGTTTTCTCCTGTAACTGCTGAACATTTGTATATTTGCCAGTGATGAGTCTTAATACTAGGTAATTCCAAAATTTCTGCAATGTCAGATGCATTTAATGCACCAGGTAAATCTTGTTTATTTGCAAGTATTAATAAACTTGCTCCTTCTAATCTCTCCTCTTGCAAAAGTTTGTATAATTCTGTCTTACAATCTTCTAATCTTCTTCTATCTGCGCTATCAATCACCCATATAAGACCATCTGTAGACTCAAAATAATTTCTCCAGTACGAACGCAATGATTTTTGACCACCTACATCCCATATATTAAGTTTATATCCACGATGTTCTAAAGTTTTAATATTGAAACCAAGAGTTGGTGATATTGTATCAATTGGTTCTCCATTAATTCTCTTTAAAACTGTTGTCTTGCCAGCATTATCCAAACCTCTGTAAAGATATAAAACATAAAAGAGATCACACACACATATATGAGAAACTACAGTCATTAAAATAATAAAAAAATTTTGAAAAATAAATAATGAATTCTTTAACATAGATGCATACTTTTGGTTAAAAAATACATATCAGTGTAATAAGACATACATGACATACATTTAACCTAAAAATATTAAAATATATAAAAATATTAAATACGTACAGCATTAAAATGCGCATTTCTTTCTCCTTTTGTTTCAATTTTTTAAGTACTGTTAACAATCCCATTATTAATTATATAAAAAATATCACTGACCACAATTTTATGACATCAGTTCAGAACATGTAAATCTATCCAACTTGTCAATCTTAACCTATATAGGAAACAACAATATTAAATCTAACATCGAATAAATATCTAATATTTAGCATCAAATATAATGTTAATAAAATTACATTTTTAATTATTCATAATGTATATATTTAATAGAAATGGTAAACTGATATCACTAAAGTAAAGGTAGTGAATAAATAATAATATTAAACAGCATTAAACATAATAACAAATAATTTTAAAGAATATATAAAAAGTTATATAATTTATTATGATAAAAGTAATTCTGCGACTTTATTAACAACATCAGGATGACAAAGTGCATTAATAATATTTTCAGACAAATGTTGACCAGATGAATATGTATTTTCTAAATCAGTATCAGTTTTAGAATTGTCTTTTAACAATTTATTCGAATCTTCAGAAAATCTCTCTCTTTTCACTTTTAAAAGTTCTTTTAGTTCTATTGTTTTGAGATCATGAAGTAGCTTTACATAAACAGGATATTCCATTGCTAAATCTTTGGCAGTCCATGTACTACTTTTCATTCTTTTATATGGTGATTCTACATTTTCCATTCTTTTACATTCTTTTACAGCAACATTAAGCTGTTAAATAAATTAATTTTATTTTTTAATATTTATAATTAAAAATATCAATATAGAAAATTATCAAATATATCATTTTTGATAAATAATGTTTATTATACATTACCAAATTTATACAATCAATTTCATCAGGTACATTACAAATATCTTTCCCAATTCTGGCTACTATTAATTTAACAATAGCTTCCTTGACTCTTGATACATTATCTGTTATTACTGGTACCCATATATTGACACTAATAGTAAAATCCAATGATTCAACATAATGCCACCACCCTGGTGGAACAAATAATATGTCTCCTGGTTCCAGAGTTACTAGCTTTGCTGTATCTTGTATTTTTAATATATTAATCTCATCTTCCTTAGTAGGACAAAAAAAATTGTATTTACTATATACTGTAGATTCTTCATAAGGAATCCTTGTTGGTTGAAGGAAATTACTTGAACTTGGAGGAAATAATAACCATTGTTTCCTAAAAATGCAATATAAGTATATTATTTCTATATTATCTTTTTATTTTATCTTTTTTGTTTTGTTTGGCTAGCCCATTTCGTAGATAAACAGTTAATTTAAATATAACTGACCTTCCATGAATTTGAGCTATTAAATTACAGCCATAAGAATCTTGATGACAATTTGTATGAGCTCCTTTACTTCCGATCCAAATTGTAGAATCATCACCAGTTTTATCAATACCAAATATTCTCCAATTTATTGAATTTATTATTTCTAATTTATTTTTAAACCATTCTTGCATATATTTATAATCAAAGTAATACCATTTCTTATCATTTTCAGAGAGATTTATATTTTGAATAAACTCTGTTAATGTCATTGAAACTGTTGAACAATTTATCTCCCATTGTGGACTCTGAAAGATATAAAATTGTGAAACTTATAGTAATAATATATTTCTAATACACATAAAAGAAAAAATGTGTAACTAAAATAATAGCAATTTACCATAGACCTAGCATTATAACCAACTCGAAACGGTAATTTAATATCTCCGAATTTTTCTGCAAGTTCAGATAAATTCCATTCAAATAATTTCCAACATTCACCTTTTACATTTCGTAATATTTGTTGAAATATTACTGGCTCTTTAATTTCCATAACAGCTTGATGTAAAATCTTGTCTGATGGTGAATTCAGTTTTTCCATCATTGAAAATTATTTATTCTTTGTCAGGTTATAAGTTATTATAAGTCCAAAATATAAATTCAACTTCATCTATAAGTTATTGAAACATTTAATATTTACGCTTCTTTGATTGCTTATGAATAAGAACATATTTTATTCACAAAATCAAAATAATCTTTATAAGTGATAAATTTAAAGTTGTTTAAGAAAAATTAAAATTCTTAGTGAACTATGATAATTTCAAGTCGTATGTATTACATATTCTAACCTAAAACAACTTCGTTGTGGTACATCAAACTGTGTAGTAGAATATTTTTTAGTTATATTTGACAAGTAAATATGTTAAAATATACGCAGCTGTGTAGAAATTACGTAAAATTAAAACCAGCGCTTCTTTTTAATCAAACTAATGTATTGATGCAACAAAACCGAGTAATATTTTATTATTAAATCTACTAAAGATTAAAACGAAATTGAATACTTTAAAATAAATATTTACTATTCTTTATTTTAGAACACGTTTATCTTAAGAAGAAAATACCAAGTGCCCCTTTATAAAAAATACCAGAAATATCCACGGCTAACACATAAACATTTCATTTATGAACTTGTAGAAGATACAGATATTAAACCACAAAAATGTATTGATATAGTTTTGTTAGAAACTATAAAAGGAGTTGGTATAAAAGGACAGAAAGTTACAGTAAAGTCTCAGAAAGCTTATGAAACTTTAATATTACCAAAACTGGCCGTATATGCAACACCTGAAAATTTAAAGAAGTATATAATAGAAGAGCAAGATATTGATAAATTATCATATAGTTCTCCATTTATAGAAAGAACAATAAACCTATTAGCTCAATGTTATTTACCGATAAGAATGTCCATAGATATACCATGGACTATAGAAAAATGGCACGTGAGGGTATCATTTCGTGTATTAGGTTACATTGTACCTGAAGATGCTATAACTCTTCCAAAGAAAACTATATCTGGGCCTGATTTATCCATTGAAAATAAAGAATTTTACATTATTGTCAAAATCAATAATCAAGAAGAAGTGAAAGTCAGATGTAAAATTTTTCATTATTCTTCTAATGAACAGAAAAAAATTAAGTACGATGTACCATTGTATGAATTACCAAACATACCAATTTTTGCAGAAGATGAACCAATATTAAATTCCCTTCCGAAACATCGTTTATTTAAAATGAAAGTTGATAATATAAATGAATAAAGAGTAAATGATAATTATATAATACTATTATAAATGTATTACAATAAAAAGAACTTTATTAGAAGAAAATATTAGTTTTGTTACATTTATATTTCAATAGTATGCACAAAAAATTATGATAAATAACATGTAATGTAATTGTATATATGTATGTACAAATATAGTTATATATGAATTTCAGCTATAAAGTAAATGACTATAATTATAACTACTATTTTTTTTTAGAACAATTTGTTTTTAATTTTTTATAAATTATCATGTACACATAAACATCTTTACAGTTTTACATATTACATCTTTCTCAATATAAATTTTATTTCTTAAGGTATACTTATATTCATAAAACATGTATGTAATCAATGATTGATTTCTCCATCATTCTGTAATAATTTGCTTTTCACTTTTCAATTAGTTAACCTGACTTTTTACTAATTTCATTATTGTAAATGAAATGTATAATAATTTATTATTTTAATATTTAAAAATGGAAGAAAAATATTTTGCATGGGATGAAATTTCTGATGCTTTAATTTTATTAAGGTAATAATTAAATAAATCTTATATTTTTATATCCATTGTGTTTCAAGTAATAACTTATTCGTAAATGACAAATGGTAAATATTTATTACAATTACTATCTTTTCTATACTCAAATGTAAGTACACAAAAAACTGAGGATGAACATATCAAGAAGATTAAACAACAATCTGATCCTGTACATCAATCAAAGGTATACTGTCCTCATGCATACTTGATTTTAAATTTTCACGAAACTGTAAGCCAACGTGATAAGGTAAATGATACAAAGAAAAAAATCTCGGTTATAATAACATTTATAATTTTTTTGTTTTTCAAGTACATATTATTTCAGCTAAGATTTAGAAAATATCATTTAAGAAAAGTATCTCCAAATGAACCAAATGTTATTATTTTGCAAGATATAAAGGATCTTGTGATGTTTTTATTAATCAGCCCCATAAGTTCTCAGTTTGTAAACTTTTTTCATTTACCAATTGTTGATCGCTTTTTGAGAGCTGTAATACTTTATTTTCAACATTATGTGATAACATGGGAAGAATTAATGAACGAACGTACAGCTACTATGAAAAAAGCTCCAAATCCATTAGCTCAGGGCTATAGATTTAAATATACAGAAGAAATGCAAAATCTGCGTTGTGTCTTAGGTAGAGAATATGCTGACTTAATAATAGGTTGTCAAGACATTATACAATACCATCATATGATTGGAGGAAAGAAAGGAGCACCATCTTTGACACAATCACAAGGAGAGAAAGATTTAAGAATATTTGAAGTATTAATTTGTATGACACATCGTATTGTTTGGATAGCTTTAGAACGTAAATATTTTAGTTTGATTGGTAAGTCTGTGTTATAATAAAATAAATAACATCAGATATCTATAAAAGAATAAGTAAGTAATAGTAGGTATATTCGAATAAACAATAAGATATTTATTATAGAAATAGAATTGCATAGATTATTTAGAACTGAAACATATAACATAGCAGAAAGACAAAGTTATACAATTCAAGATATGTTATTTGATGATATTCAAGTATTACAAGGTCACAAAATACAAGAAAAAAGAAAATTACTAAGGAATTCACCTCTAATACAAGAATTAATATATTCAAATTATGATTATCGTCTTCTGACTTTAGGTATTTATTTTTATATATTTCATTTTAAAATAAAAAATAATACATTATATTTTACAGGAATGCAAGACAATTCAAATGACAAACGCATTCTTTATTTACAACATGCTCTTGTTGTTGAAGAAGATAAATTACATGAACTGGGAATAAAAATAGGAATTTTAGGAGAAAATAAAGCTAATTATGATATAATATTAATGCCCATTGAAGAAAGAGATGAAAAACTGGATAAAACTCAATTATCTGAAAAAAGAAAATATGAGAGAAAGAAAAGCATTAAAGATACAGATATAGTAAGTTTTTATCAACATTTTTTAAGTTACCAAACGTTACAAACATTACATTTTTATGTTTAAATTGTAGAAAATACCAGTAAAAATTCGACAACTTCCACCATTCCAAACTAAGCCCGATTTAATACGAGATTTTTCAATGAAAACAATTAATATTATACCAAGAGGCTATAAAATTACTCGTGAGAAAACAAGAAAAAAATGGTTAAGTAGAGAAATAAAACGTCAGGAACATAAAGAAACAGATACATATTCAATAGTAACAATTTTAGATTAATTATTTCTTTAGGAATAAATTTAAAATTATTTAAATATGATATCAGCGCTTCTTTTTATACACATGTATTTGTGCAATTTATACAAAAATTTTTCATTAAGAAAAGCAATTTTTTATCTTACTATCTTTTAGCTGTATTGAAGTTCTAGGAATATTGTTAAAATTTTTTCAATCAAAAATTTACACAAGCTATGATAAAACAAAATATTATTCTTTTAATAAACTGAATACTTGTATAATAGAAAAGAATACTGTTTTTTTTTTTAATAAAATATTTAATGCTTTAATTATACTATAATAATATGTTTATGTATGTGATTTCATAGAACTTGATAATTTTCATATTTCTATCACTTGTCAAATACAAAACTACTTATAATACTTCATAATACACTGACTACATATTAAATACTATTACTTGTAATGATATTACTCAAACAAGCAGAAATGATACAAATTTTTATTTGCATTAATTATATCATTAAATAAATAAAGCTTGAAAATTTGTAATTTATGTAAATTTAAAATATATTCATTTATTGAAAAATTATCATCATATGTTAAGGAATGCAAGAAATAATTGAAACAAATATATTGTATATAACGAATGACAACAAGCAAAATATTTTTTTTTAATATATTTGTTAAACTTAAAATAAATAGAACACAAATTAGTTGGTGATTACTATTTCAAGACCGTTTTATTTTTCGTGTAATTATCTAATGTTAATATGAATTAATAACAATTAAATAGTTGAAAATATGTGTCTATATCTGATTTTCTAAAAAGTCTACCCAAATAATAATTTAAATACTTTGTATTTAGTTTTACACTGTAAATAATAGTGAACATAGAAAGTACAAAGTATTCATATTGTTACCTACATAAAAAAAATTGTAAGCAATTAATACAAAATATGAAAAATTATTTAAAATTACTCATAATATACACTGAAAAAAATCTGTAAGCAAAAATACTGATAATTTCTTTATCACATGAAGCATCATTAAACAGAGACACATATGTTCAAAAATAACAATTTAAGGATGTGATAAGGGTGGATAAACTGAGTACAATAAGACAATGTAAAAAATATGCTTATTATAATTGGTAATGCCTAATAATGCGCACTAATGTTGATATTTTACAAGGAGATACACATATAGGTACATTTGAAGCAATGCATTTTTATGATTAAATTCTGCATTGTTCTTATATAAATAATTATTGTACCTACTTACTACAAGTATATATAATAACATATATCATCATAATATACATATATACATATATATGTATATATATGTATGTATGTATGTATATACTTTTTCTCTCTTTCTCTCTCTCACACGCACACGTACACGCACACACGCGCGCGCACATATTATATACATATATATACATATATGTATATATCATTAATTTAATCCCAATATGGGTTAAATCGTAAATTATATTGTGTTTGTTTTCATTTACAAGTGGCAAATTTACTGTCCATTTGCGATGGTTTACATTTAGCTAAAACATTTATTATTCAAGATATACTTTTTTGTGACCTATTATTTATGAATAATGACACGCATATATAGGTACAAAAATTAATACCTTAACAAGTATATTTGGCACAGAATCTTTGACAATAAAAACTAGATCTCCCAGAAACTTATACAATTTTGATGTTATATGTAAACTGCTTTTTTAAATCTAATGATTCTTTATAATCTGCATTGTGATTCAATAAAGTTTTTTTTATTTAATTTCAATTACGACATGTATAAAAATTATGATAATCTGCAATATATTATGTGCATTTGAAAATGGTACATTATATAAATAACTCTAATATCAATGCTGTAACTGTATTTTATAATCACTTAAATGTTAAGTGGCAGTAAATGATTCAGCGACATAATCTAGTTTCATTCTCAAAATCTGTGCCTTATTAAAATTTTTTTAATCTCGTTTTCATAGGATGTTATTTTGAATAATAAAATAATATATTGCGTGTCATCCTTTCTTATAGGCTGCAAAGGAAATTTAAACATATTACACTTACTAAAAATATCAAAAATGAAACTATTTCGGCACTTCTTATTAAGTTGAATCTTTAATTATATGTTACAGCTATCTATTACTGAACATTTGTCTACATGATTATAATACAAAATGAATAAAATGAATGTGATGATTATGCATATATCAGTAAGGCTATTTGCAGTTATTCGCATATATTATTACAACAGATAGATGATGAAAATGAATATGACTATTTATATGTATATGTAGTTTTTCTATTTTTTTTTTTAAGTTCAGCCATGTGTTCATATAATTTTTTTGTAAGTTTCTTAGTAGAAAATGATCTGCTGAAATACTTCTTTTATTCAAACAAAAATTATGTTATATTCTTATCAAAATATTCTATAAAGATGGTAATTGTACTAATTATTAATAAAAGATTTTAATTCTATTTAAAACACATCAATTTTACACAACTTATAGAAGTTATATAAAATTGTTTATTTCTATTGGAAATTATTTATTAATATTAAAATCATTATTAATGAAAATAATGTATTAATAAATGTGTTTAAATAAATTTTACTTTGGATCATAACTGAATAGACAAAAATGAATTTATATAAGCAAAAAAATTTAAATATAGTAAAATTATTTTACAAGAGTATTTTCTTTTTGTTGATTTTTATATCCCTCATAATTAAAAAGCATTTTTTGCTCTATTATTATAACTACAACACTGTAACTGAACTTATAAATTGCAAGTACATATATAAAAGGATAAGATGAGATATGATCCTTTCATGATTATTTTTCAGCAAGGATGGAGGTTTTCCATTTACAAGAAATATGATCCTCTTTTCTGTGAATCTAGCTATATGAGTTGTACCCAATGAAATTTACATTAAATTAGTAATAGTTACTATTTCTTTTTACTCTCTGTATGTCAATCCCTGCCATTATCTCGGATTTTTGTAGTTACGCAACGAAAGTCAATAACACAATCTTACATTTAGCAGCACAGACACAAACAGTACTTCTTTCTATATTGTAAGGAACACACGTGAACTCGTTTTCAAATTATTATATTATTAAAATAGACGGGGCTACGAAGCAATGTCTGACATAAGTTGAGCCAATAAAGCTGGCTCTAAAAGTCCTTGTGTTTGCCCCATTCTTTCCAAATTTCGTACATCTTTATTTACTGCCTCTAAGGCTCGTTCTAATTCTTCTTCTTCTTCTCTTGATGGTTCATATTCCCCATTTCTGCCTTCTAAAAGAAAAATAATAGTTTAGTTTATGTTTAGACTTAAAGTAATGTATGTGAAGTTATTTCATTCTAAACTCAAAGAAATTAGTACACAATAAAATAGAAAACATTATAATTACCAATGAACAAGTCATTAAACGCATCAGCAGGTAAATTGTTGAGCACATTGCCAAAGTCATGCTCTGCAGGATCCAAAGAAGGAAATACTTCATGATCTCCCAGATCTACTTTAAGTCCTCCTCCAAGACCAAGTCCTAATCCTAAGTTTAAATTAGCAGAATTTGAACTTCCTTGCGCTACAGTATTCAAATTATTCAATGTTTTTGTCTGATTTTCACTAGAGTTTATTTGATTCAAATATTGACTCTCTTCATGTACCAACGTTGGATCTTTAGTTTCCAATTTATTTGCTGGAGGCCGTTTTCGTTTCTTTGGCCTGGATTTTGGTTTAGGCCTGGGAATTGTGGGAGATGTTGGTTTTTTACGAGCTTTCTTTGGTTTAGACTCTTGGGCTTTACGATGATAATTATCTCTTTTCCTTGCATGTTCTGGACAAAGAGGTAACTCATGTGCAACATCAAACACAGGAATACAACATTGTGTATTATCACTAAATTTGGCAGTGCAATGTTCAAATAAAAGTTGATCTCCATTTAACATAATATGACGAGAACAATGACGAGTACATGGCAAAGATGTCTGTTGACATCCTTCAGCTCCACAAAGTTCACCAACTAAAAGTGGTCCATCTATCACTTTACTTGTACTTGGAGAACCACTTAAAACTCTTGCTGTAGATGCAGGATCCTTATAAGCAGCTTCTAACAAACATCTAGCTCTATCACGTAACAAAATTTCAGAGTCTGTTCCACCTTTATGTAACTGAAGTAATCTTCGTCTCAATTGAGATCGCAATTGACAAAGGCGTGCAGAACGATTCAATGTTGAAGTGTTTTCTCCAGAAAACCAATAACGTTGATAAATTGTCATTTCATCTCCACTAGAATCACTATCCAATATTTCATCTCCAGCTCTAGGATAATACAGTAAAGTATGGTCCCGACTTTGCCTTCTATTTTTTAGTCTTTGTAAATTTTCGATATGATGTTGCTTCTGATGAATTGCTTTTGCAAATTTATAATCTATGTGTTCACCATCACCACTACCACTGCCACCACCACCAACACTACAGTCAGCATCTAATTCTACAGCACGATCTTGTACAGCTTTGAATTCCGCATCTGGTACGGATGTTATCCTTATTCTTTGTTTCATACATTTTCCTTTAGTCTTATTATTTTTACAATTTTGCATTACTTTAGAATTTTTAGATGACACTACTGTAACATTTCTTCCTGTTGCTGTACCAAATGGCTCTGGTTCACTGAAAATATATGGATCGACATCTTGACGAGCCTCAGTTTTCAGCAAAGCCTTCAAGCGATCCGAAAACTTCAATTTATTGTCCATGTTTGAGTTTTCGGATATAGGGACCTTCATTGATTACCGTTTTCTTTGTATACTGTTCCACCTGCATTCTCAAACTCTCCAAATCAACTTTCTTTCTAACTAGATAAAACTTAGTTCACGCCATGTGCCTAGATCCAAGTCCATATATAAATATTTCTGAATTCATAATACTGCATAATAAAAAAATAAAAAATTAGTTTTATTGTATTATATCACAGTTTGGTTTTCTTTGTAATTGCTTTAAACACATTAATGTTTACATATGCTTCAAGGTAATATAACTAATAATAAAATGAATTTTTATACAAAGTATAATAAATTATAAAATAGTCATATGCACTACTTATGCTAATATATTAATGTGCATCCAGCTATCTTATTTACATACATTTGCATATACACAAAACTTGGTTTTGCCATGGGCTATGTTTTAATAGAAAGATTAAAATTGATTATCTACTGTTTAGTATCAAATTTTGTAGTGGAGTTTTACAAAAAAGCTCATATATTTAAATGATAATAAAATTTATTCTGTATTGTAAAAGTGCAAATAATACTTTAGCAGTCAATAATATCTAGATCAATTAAAGCTATATATCACTCTAAGTTTAAATTCGCATATTTCTATATATAATGTGTATCAGGTGATTATCAAAGTCTCCTGATTCAAGCATTAAGCGTGAACTTAGTCCATGGCTAGATCAGGATAAAAACAATCTTTGCCTCGCATAGCAATTCACATTAAATATACTTTATACATTTTCAAATATTTGTATTATACGAAACTTCAAAGCATTGAATGTGGATCCTAAAAGTTCTGACACTCTCAGACAAGTCAAAGCCATATTAATAAACATTTTATCTCTAATGTTGACATGAGTACATGGATGCTGGATATCAACACTGTTTGGTTATGTTCACTCCTTATATAGGCAATAAGACACTGTGCAAAATACTGTAATCAAGTTTCAATAATATGGTCAGAAAAACTAAAGAGGTGAGTCTTGTAGCATATTTATACCCTATATTAAGGGTAAACTATTCACAAATACTATCACGAAATTCCGTTTATGGACTCGTTTCGTTTAGTTTAACCGAGGTTGGGATAATGGAAATTACTCCCAACAGTAATGAAAGTTGTTGCCCAATCAGAAACAATCTGATCTTTTTCATGCAAAATACACTCCAACAAGATTACAGATTCACGCACAAAATTCAGTATTCATCGATAATAACATTAGAAAGACATGTCAGATGTAAAGGAAGCAAAATGGCGGACACTGCACACACGAACAGTTTCTGATGCGAAAAATCTTTGAATTCATTGTATTATCATTATGAATTTGGTATACAAACATTTTACGTCCCTTTTAAGTGTTAACTAATTTTATGTGATAATTTACAAAAATATATTTTTACATGATTTCGACTATTTTAGTTAAAAATGTTTAGATTGTTCTTCGTTATTCGGTTTGACATAACCTAATTGCTCACATATATAATAGATTTATTTTATTTTTATTTCTTTCTTTTTGAAAAATAAAATAATATGAATAAAGTAACACGTATGATAATATTGAATGTCTTAATTTTGAAAAATGCATTTTTTTTATCTACTTTCCTTCATTATGTTTTCTTAGTTATATTTAAGATAACTGTCTTCCATTTATATAAATGTATAGTTTTTCATTGATATTTCAAAATATTACACAATGCATAAAGCTCTATTATGTTATTAGATAAAATTATATTACACAATTTTTATATATTAATATTAAGATAATGTTTTATAATTGGTTAAACCGTAATAATTGAAAATTATAGAGATATGATATATCACATTTTCCGTTTTTTACAAGAGAACAATTATAAAATATAATACGATATTTAGTATTATCAAAATTGTTTTTTATTTGGTTTTGAAATTAAATATATATCATTGCCAACCCTTGATTATTTCAAAAATATTGATTGTTTTAACATTAATTATGTTCTTGGTTTTTATAAAACTTTGTAAATTTATTATCTATTTTTAAAAAACTTTAAACTTGACAAATTGCTTATGTTATACTAAATTATTCCTTTTTAGTCACTAACATTAAAACTAGAAAATCAACGAAAATAGGTTTATGTTTTTATCATATAATCTTTATAAGTTATATATCAAAAGATATTTAAAAATAAATAAACTTAGACTAACCATTGTAAATAAACTTGAATTTTTGTAACAAATATAAGAAAAATACAATAAATATCATAAGTGTTGTCTATAGAAAAAGAATAATGAAGACAAAATGAATTATGTAGCTATTAAATATAAAATCGTATATGTACGCATGTATTCAAACATATAATGTCGAAAGCGAGATAATTACACGTATAAGATTGTGATTTATAAATAATTTTCATATTCTACAATCAAATCGTATTTTTATACCTATCAATTTTAATATCTTATTTTTAACATTAATAATAAGTAAATATAGATTTTATAGTTAAGTAATAAGCAATTCTAAAAGATAATTAAAATTCATAAAGCTAGTAACTTTGAAAAAAATTATTACCAGTGATCAGCTGATTTTGACATTTAAAAGACTATAACCTATTAATATATAACAGAATACCACCTGTTGATTTATTTCTTTCTTTTCGAAAAGACCTTTTATTTATTTAATTATTTATTATCAATACTTTACTATTTAAAAAAACAGCTCGATTCAAATATTATATTAATATTTTATTTTATCAAATAACATAATATACGTATGTAAATTATACAAACAAATTTTTATATACTAAATGTATGTTTAGTATATATAATTTAACTCTTTTATTATTATATAAGAATCTTTAACATTTTGTATTTCTAATATAATTATATTGAGGGTTCCTGAATTTTATATAGAAGGTAAAATAATCTCCTCAATAATATATATTACAATCTTATTTCATTTATATTTTTTTCCTTGTTCTCTTTATAATTAAATATACACAATGATTATGTACACAACTATTTTGTGTACCTAACATTGCTTTAACTATAATTTTGTAGCTTTTGAAACATATATATCTACTAAAAACAGTAACCAGATTGAGTTATATACACGTTATAAACAAATGCAATTATACTGTAGATCATAAAAATATAAATTTTAGACTTGAATGGAAAATGAATTACTGTACATAAGAAAAGTATTAGTACAAATAATTAAAAAATTACAAGGCAAAATAATATAATTTACTTGAAAATATATCTCCATTGCATAAAATTCAATTTCTGTTTTTAGAATTTTAAATTTTACACAAAAAAATAAGTTAAATGCCAAATGTACAATATTTTTAAGTGACAAGTTTGTTCCTACAAATATTTAACAAGAATAGTATACAATAAACTGTGTATACATAACATATTTAATCCCTCTGATCTCACCTGCTTGATATTTTGTAAATGTTTTTATTCACTTTGACTAGGAAATTTCTCTCATTGGTGTTTAATGTGTATTACACAAATATGCATTAACTTTTTAACATGTTTTTCGTTCAATAATTCAATGTATTGCTTATATTCATAATTTGCAAAATGAACATAATATGCATAAGATGACAAATGAAGTGAGCAAAAAACTAGAAATTTGATAAGCACAAAAAAATTTTAAATATGTAAAGATATTATTTCTGCATTTCAGAAATAATGTTAATTTGTTATGGAAATGCATCATATACTACAATCATATAGAAATTATATTTTACCTAAGCGATATGTAAAAATTTTATACATAGATAATATTTTATAATTTTAGAACAATTAACAAAAAGTGTATGTACTATAATAAGTAAAATTAAAGATATGATCCTTTTTTTCAAGATTATTCTTACTGAAAAAATTGTCCCAATTGCTTTTAATGTTGGAAACTTCTTTTATTCTATATTTTAGTTGATTCGATTTTTAATGATATTAAAGTCTTAATTTGAGGTATAGTTTGTGGTAGACCCAAGGGACGGTAATTCTTTTTTCTTAGTATAAAAGTTGTATTTGAAAATTATTATGAATTATATAAGAAATGTATGTTACGTAGTTTTTCGTTGAGGTTTTTGTCCTTTAATAATAATTGGCCGGCCTTTTATATAACCTTTCTTGCGACGTGGTGTCTGAAACATTAATATCCCCCCCCCCACAACTTCAACTACATTTCAAAATTACATAATGTTATAATTTAAAAAATGAAAAACGATACGATTAAGAATTCAAGAAATGAAAGCTTTAATTCTTTATTGTATGAAATAGAATTCTTACCTTTTTACTGACATATGAATTGGCATTACGTGTAACAATTCGTTTGGATATTGGAATGCTCGGTCTATTAAATTCATTTGGTTTTTTCACCCTAAAATTGTATTTTAGTAAAGTTTGTAATTTATAATATAAAAATTACAGTTTATAAAATTAATTTATAATTTTGTTATCATTATTTATAGAATTACCTGTAAATTCTAACAAGCCAATGCTCAGTTGTATAGGCTTCTTCCAAATATGTCAACTGAAAATTTTTATTTCCTATTTCGGCATTACGCGTACGATCGAAACCAAACGGCGAGCTATAATCCATTTTTACTTCTCCAAATCGATAATAGCATAATTTATACATTAGTGAATTCAAAAGAGTAGGTGAACCTTCAGAATCCACACGAAATTCTCCTTTTTCAGTAAAATAATCACTTTCACGAATATCTTGTGGATGTTCACCTTCAGCAATTCGTACCATCCAAAGGAACTTATTAACATCATCTCCAGAATATCCAATAATTCCTCCAAAAATAACTAGTACATAATCTACATCTAATGATGACATGATTTCATAAGCAGCACTTTCATTTGAGCTCAATGCCTTTCCAACTAGAGCTATATGTGAATTATTCCAAGTGTTATTGTCCACAAGTGTAGTTCTATATTCAAATGAAACATATTTTATATTGTACAGTTTTATGGAATATAATAAAATGTTTTCAACATGTTATTTTCTAATAATATATACCTATTAGCCATTCCAGCAATTTGATAACCATAATCCCACCAACTCATAATTCTAGCATCAATAGGAGTATTTTGGGCTAACCAGTAATAAGCTTCTCTAAAATCGTCGAGAATAGCTCTACCACCATCATTACTATATGATGACAAAACAATTGAGGGGCTAGAATATGCATTACTCGTAATCCAAGTGCAATGCAAAGTAAACATCATCATTAACATAAATGCACCAATGATAACACCATTTCGAAGATTAACACCTAATCCATCACCATTACCCCTAGGTCTCTCATGTTTCATTCTACGAAGTTTACCCGCTTTATCGTAAAGAGATCTACCAGGACTTCTCTCTCTTTCTTCTTCACTTTCTTCTTCACTTCCATTACTACTTCGATCATTTCTTTCATTGTCTTCCTCTTTAAAGAACAATTCAAGAAGATCACTGAATGCTACTCCAGCAAGCATACAAACAACAGGAGTCAAAGTGAGCATGAGCCTCACCATTACTCCAGCAAAATAAACGGCACTTATAGCATATAATATAACTATAAAATAATTATAATTAATAATGCATTTATGTAATAAATCAAAAAACAATTTTATTGTGAAATCTTACCGAAAACGCGTTCATCATTAATACGTTTAATGCAGTACCAAAGGCCCACAGGAAATGTTGTAACAAGAATATGTAAATCGAAGAAAAAGCTAAACCATGTTGTAGGTTGATGTTCAGAAACAGATGCTATTATTGGAATGTGTATTTTTGCATAACCAGTATCCCAAAGTGAATAAAATCTTCCACTCCAAGGTGCAACAACACCAGCATAAGTTAAACAAATTAAAAGAAACAAGAGAATACCAGCTGTAACTATAACAATTCCTCCAAAGTACTTCATTTCAGATTTCGTAAGTACAGTTTTTAAGTATCTACAATAATAAAACATATTTTACTAAAATAATTTGATATGTCAACATGAAGAACATACTAAATCAACTCACCTGAAAGCTGCCACAAAAATTAATAAACCAAATACACCTCCAGCTGCCATGTGTTCTGATGTTCTTATTGGTTGAAAACCAACAAATGGTATTTGCATACTTAGTAAAAGCCCCAAAATATAGAATGTAGTGTAACTTGTAAAAAGACGATTACTGAACCGATTCATGACTAATAATATAAAAACATGAAGTGGAATTAAATTAATAATAAAAACATAACCACCCCATGCAGATACCATATAAAAATATGACAAAGTAGTCATAGAAGCCCAAAATATAGAACCAGTTTTAACTGATTTAACCCAAAGATAATATGTAATTTGGAGTGCAAAAATAGCAATGCCTTCATTGTCATAACTTCCTGCTACAGATCTTGAAATGTAACCAGGTACAATTGCAATAAAACATGCTGCAAATAAACCAGCACCTGCACTCCATATTTCTTTTGTTAATAAGTACGTAGAAATGGCTGTGAGGCCACTAAATATTGGAGCTAAGAATACACAAATGTCTTTTATATGCACTGGGATATTTAAAGAATGTAATATGTAATGTATAGATCCAGATGTTATCATTAATCCAGGATAAACAGTTCCACCTACAATACGACCCAATGGATACCATGCTCTTTCATCAAACCAATTTAAAAAATTATAGAATCCATGTTGCACCATATATGCTGTTGCTCTGTAGTTAAACCTAAGAATATTTCATTTATAATACATATAATATTACTTTATTATAATAATCGCAATACATGATAAAATGAATTTGCATTTTTAACCAAAATATCGTTTATCTTACAAAATAATTAATAAATCTTAAATAAAAAATATTAAAGTAAATTAAATTATCAATAAATATATGTATTTTAATATAATGTAAAAATACATACCATGGATCGAATTCGTGTATAATACTTTCGAATCGTATTACTGCAAATAACCGAGAGGCAAATCCTGAGATCCAAGCAAGTAGCAAAACAGTAAAAGTAATGAGAGAACTAAGACCAGCAGCGTTTGTTAATGTAGAAGTTTTCATTTGCTTAGATGTCGATTTCTTATCAGGAAACATATCTTTTCTGCTATTTGTTATGGATGTTCTATTTGGCAACATATTTTCTTTAAATTTATAAATGTAATGAAAAATATTTCTGTTAAATTTTAACAGACATTTGACATGAACATATTAACATTTGTTTCTATTCAACACGTTGCAAATCAAGCAGTCCGCAACAAATTACCAAACCACTATGCCTAGGCTAGAAGTTTAAGACACGTTGAACACCGGCTACGTGTTAACCATGACTTCCACAATGATCTGTACTCTCATAGAAATATGATACAGGAATAGTATGTTCGAATATACGCTTAAATGCACACTACAATATGAATATCAAGCTGCTGATTGGTTCCATTAATAAAGTCAGAAATAGTTCGCCTACCAATGAGATTAATTTTATACCAATGAAATATCCGGTCATTAACTATAATCTAAATACAGATTCAGTCGCGTATAAACAGTAATACTTATCTCAAAACGTCATATCCGGATAATTCTATTACTTAATAATTACGTCTTAAATACGTTGAAAAAGTAATATTTCTTGTTTCCATTGTAAATATATAAAAAATTTTGAAAATTTTGGTATGTAATGAGATAAAACATTAATTAGAATGTTACAAATAAATAGTGACTTATAGATAAAAATCTGAAAAGGTGAAATTGATTTGATGAGATACTATAAACTATTTTTTTGATTACGCATGTAATTTGAAAATAATTGTTAACAAAAATTTGTTTGTTCGACAACAAATTTATGGAATAATACGAATTAAAACCAATTATTTAAATAGTATAAAAGACATTTATTTTCTCATGTTTACTAGTAAGGAGCAATTACTAAAACGTACTGGAAAAAATCCTATCGGTCGTTACGATTTTTTAAAACTTTTAGCTACAGAATATAAAACTACTAAATCTAAAGGTAATTTATATGAAAAATATAATTGTTTATAATTAAGAATAGTATAATGAAATATCGTTATAGATGCAAAGGAGCAGGTATTAGCAAATCTTGCTAATTTTGCTTATGATCCCATCAATTATGGATACATAAGACAACTACAAATAATTGATTTGTTTCTTCATACTTTGTCAGAAGATAATTTAAAATTAGTACGTTTTGCTGTAGGAGGTATTTGTAACGTATGTGCTGGTAAGTATATGATTGCTTTAAAAAATATGTATTCACAATAATCAGTAATTATATTTTAGATCCTGTAAATAAATTATATATTTTACGTAATCAAGGAATACAACTATTGACATCACTACTTTCTTTACAAGATGAAAACATTATACTCTCAGTGATTACTAGTTTAATATTTTTAATAACTCCTGAATCTGAAAATGAAATAACAACTGAATTGATCGAAAAAATATCTAACTTATTAAATTATGAAAGTTACCGTATTAAAAATTTAATAACAATATTTTTGAGTGATTGTACTATAATAAAGGATAAAATTGAAAATTCTAAAAATAAATAAGAAATATTTTGATAAAATATGTTCCTAATTATACTTTAATATTTAAAAAATGCAATAATTAAAGGATTATACATTATAATTTAAATGGAAAATAAAATGAAGTTATCAGAATCATTTCTAAAATTATTAAAAAGGTATTGTACAGGAACTTCAGATATTTTAAAATCTGTGAAGGCTGGAAATGAAATATCAGTTTTTAAAACAATTACAAAAGATGATGTATCAAATTTTGCTAAATTAACTGGTGATTATAATCCAATACATTTTAATTCATCAAACAATCTTGTTCATGGTGCTTTACTTAATGGTTTAGTATCAGGAGTACTTGGTACAAAAATACCAGGTCCAGGATCTATAGTAGTCGAACAAAACATTACATTTCCAGCACCATGTTATGCTGGAGATACAATAGAAATAAAAGTACAAATTGTTTCTGTAAGAAAAATTATGAAATGTGAATATATTTGTATTGCAAATGGGAAAAATATAGTCTTAAAAGGAAATGCAAAACTTATTAAAAAGTCATAAAATGTCAACAGTCTGTTGTCAAATTATTATATAATGTTAATGTTACCAATACATAAATTTTTGTTACTATATATACGTAAATTACGTATTTCTTTATTTGTACTCTAAAATTATATTTGTATTAAAAGAATAAAGTAAACCTTTTTATATACAATATGTGGGATTACAGTATTATGAAACATTGCTTATTAAGTATATGACCTATTTTAATTGCTGACATTACAGAATAAGGTGTCTTTAATAAAACCTGCACAACTTATTGGTTTTCATTACTTTATGCATGTAATGTGCAATTTAATTAATGTAAGTACAACTAAATTAAATAATATATATTTACATATTTCATTAATAGTTTATAATTCAACATAGATTTTACATATTTCTAATAAATACAGTTTCTTTTTATTTATGATTATTAATTAATATAATTTTATCCTAATAAGATCTTAAATAAATACAAAAGTGTTCTTTTTCAGAAAAAATGTATCCAGCATTTCTATTATCAATTCTTTACTTTGCATCTGCAATTACAAATAATGAAATTAAAACAAAAGCTTTAAATAACACTCTTAAAATTTTAACTACTGAATCACCAATTGGTTGTATTTGTGGAATTTTTTTAAATGGACAATTTATAAAAGGTAGTAAAGAATCACCAAAAGGAAATCCTGCTCTTATTCATGATCTACCTGAATTATTTCCATGTACTCCAACTGGAAATAGACTATGTACGAATAAATGTTTGGACACAGTAAGTTAATCTATAAAAATACATATATTTTATTTGCATAATTAATATTTTATTTCAAACTTATATAGAAAAAGTATTAAATATTCATTATAGGTAATTAAATACCTCCCAAACAGTTCTAAAATATTATGTAGTTCAATAGAACATGATTGCTATAAAGAAAGGGTAAGTTTTATTATACTATTTCACAACAGTTTCATATTATACTTTTAAAAAAAGTTTATGTTATAACAATATTATATAGTAATTATATCTTACAATTTTTATGTAACAGGCTTATTTATTTATTAAAAACTGTAAGACTGGATGGATTAACACAAATCTTTCTGCTGGAAGAGAATACTGTTGTAGAAATGGTACATCATACAAATGTCCAAAGTATTAAAATAAACATCTTTTATTTTGTTTCTCTTGTTATAAATTTATAAGTTGTATAGCTCTTTAATTTAATAAAACTGTTCTTGCTTCTACCACATTTTCTTCTCAAATATCCCGCTCCTTGTCTAAATATAGCTTCAAGAGCATCATATACACTCCACAAAGAATCAAAGGAATCCCAGATAAATATCTGAGATCTTCATTCTATAATTAAATTACCAGATATAAAGCTTTCTTTTATTTTGTGCATTTTAAAAAAGAAAAGCTTGCTCCATTAAGTTTTTCTTTTTAGTTATTAACACGTGAGGTATGATTTTGATCTTTAATTTGTGTTATTGGGTCAAGTTCAGGCATAACCCCAATAATATTGCAAATGACAATGTTAAATTTAAGTTGAGCAGTTACTACAAATTTGTATCTTATATGTTTTGTACTTTATAATCAATATAAAACCTATTTAAAAACTAATTTTTATTGATACAAAGGGAAGATGCAAAACTCTTTATCATTAATTCTATTATTTTATATCATTAAATATTATTTATAATGGTAATAATAGTGTATTATGAGAAGGAAATAATGTGAAGCTCTATTATAAATAGTAGTTAATATTTTGAATAAAATATATTATAAATAAAGATTGGTAAGAAACATGTGTGCAAGACTTTTAGCATGCCCTTTGTGCTCACAACCAGGTTTTTTAACATTGGATGCATTACGAGCAGGATTAATAAGTGTAGCTACACGACCTCTTACATGCCCTGTGTGTAATGAAATATTGCTTGGTATCGATAAACTTACTATCCATTTATTCAGTCACACTATTAATTTAAGCAATAATAATACAGGGTCATTGAAACATACAATTATTACCAGTACTTCTAATCCATCAATAAATAATTTAGAAAATACTACTTCTCAAGATTGGAATGTCTCTAAAATACAAATTACAGATTCAAATAAACTTTCACAGAATAACTTAAATAATCAAAACAATTTAATATCTTCTCAAAGCCTGCAAAATACAAAAGATAAAGCTTCAGTTTTGAATTCAGAAGTTTCTGTTCAAGATCAAAATTTACTAAATCATGTACCTCAAACTACATTTCTACAAAATTCAGTTTGTGAGAACAAAGAAGTACATGCACTTCATAGAAGTAAAGATACAGAATCAGATAAAGATTCTCAACAAATGTTACAAGAAACAATAAAATTAAATTATGCTACAGAATATTTTACTAATGAAAATGTTAAGCATGTCAATTTTGTACAAAATTATTCTGAAACAGAATATGAAAATGTTCAAACATTTAAAACATGGATGCAGGATCAACATTGTGAACAACAAAATGAAAATGTAGCAGGTAAAGTGGAAAAATCTGTAGAAAGTGATAAATCTTGTAATAATGAAAAAATGACAACAATATATAAATTACCAAACATTGCAAGTACTTATACTGACATATCATTAGAAAAAGCTAATGATAAAAATGTACAAGAAGATTCAACTACTACCTATAATGAAAGTGAAAATGAAAGTTTTAAACACAAACAAATATTACCTCAATTGAAATTTATAAAAACATTACCATCAGCAAAACAAAAAACTGAACAGTGCAATATATGTGGTTTTCATTTTCCTGATCATAATATTTTGTTTTTACATAAACAATTAGTACATATGATTCATGAAAAAGACTTAAATATTATTCCTGAAAATTTACTTAATAATTATTCATGTCATTTATGCTCTAAGGTATTTAAAATGAGAGGTAGTTTAATGGTGCATATGCGAGTTGCACATATGGGATATAATTTGGGTAATTTAGTGTTACATTGAAAGTATATTAATATCTACTATTTAATAAATATGAAAATATGTATCTATACATATACACACATGCACACACACACAAACACACACACAGCACAGCCACATATATATATATGTATATATATATATACATTTTTAGGTTCTTTAGCCAAAAATGGACAAATAGAACTTATATTCAATGAAAATAAATACAACTGTCCTACATGTGGAAAAAAATTTAAAAAGGTAATAATTAAGTTTTTTAAATATGTGTTTATAGAAAATAAAATAAATTTACTATTACAGGAACAACATGTAATGCAACATTTAAAAACTCATGAAGCTAAACAATGGGAATGTGATGTATGCAGTAAAATGTTCACAACAAAATATTTTTTAAAAAAACATAAAAGATTACATTCAGGAGAAATGCCTTACAAATGCAGCATATGTAACAAAACATTTACTTTTCAACAGTCATATCACAAACATAGATTATATCATAAAGATGATAAACCACATACATGTACAACTTGTGGTAGATCATTTAAAGAGTTATCTACTTTGCATAACCATGAACGAATTCATACAGGAGAAAAACCCTTTGCATGTGAAACTTGTGGTACGTTAAATTCTATAAGAATTATATTTAAAAAATATATAAATTTTAGAATAATGCATGTTTTGTTTTCAGTTATTACTAACAATTTAATATGGATTGTTCTGTTTCTTCAGTGTATGTATAATAATATCTTGTAGTTATTATTAATGTTATTGTTACATATAATTTATATACAGCTTACTAAATATTATAAATAGCATTATATATTTCTATAACATATATTTCGAAAATGTTATAATAAAGAAATTAATTTTCATAATAAAAGAAAAAGTAAAATAATGTGGAAAATTTAATTATGTATTAAATGATTTTATAATTTATATAGTTTGTTTTTTAGGAAAATGTTTCCGTCAACGTGTTTCATATTTGGTTCATCGCAGGATTCACACAGGAGTGATGCCTTATAAATGTACAACATGTGGAAAAAGCTTCAGATACAAGGCATGTTATAATTACAAAAAAATACTTTTATAACATAACTAATTATTTATTACTATAGGTGAGTCAAAGAACTCATAAATGTCCAGTTCAACAAATAGGAAATATGCAGCAAACAAATGCTACTGATCAAAAATCAATAAATTTACTAAATATGCAAGGTATAAATAATGATATGTGTAAAACTCAAAAAAATTTTTTAAAAGAAAATCAATCAATGCTGAACATTGTAAATAATGAAGAAAATAAGTATGTTCTAATAATAAACACACAAGGACAACACCTTTTAACAAAAGAATGTAACATTGAGAAAACACAAACTATTATAAATAAAAAACAAAAAGTAGAAGAATATACAGAAACAAACAATGAAAATGAAGAAACAAAAAATATATGGAAATCTGACATTCCTAATAATTCTATATTTAAAAAATCCCCTGAAATTTGTAAAACAATGTATTCAAAAAATGAGAAACCATTTCAAGAAGATACAAATGATTTCCTTTCAATGGTAATATCACCATTTGAAAATGGACTATCTTCACCTACTATTGAAATGGAACATTTACGAGTATCATCTCCTACACAAAAAGAAGATATATTAAAATCCTATGATACTTTTAAAAATACAACACATGACATAGAAATGAATATGTTTAATACAGATATAGAACCAAGTTTTGGTGATGCAGATAGTAATGTAAATAATTTACAAACTATTAATGAAGAATCTTTGAAGCAACTATTATATAGCATTAATGAAAAGTAATTACACAATTCTCCATAAGAATTACATTACTAATTACTGTTATTATAAATAAATACGAATATGTTAAAGAAAAATTGATTTAAAATTTATAACAAATTCTTCCAAACATTTTCAAAATATTAACAACAAAAGTTTACTTTTTCAAATTAAACATTTTGTAATTTAAAGGTAAAAAAATGTTTAGATCTTTAAATATTAATTTAACACTTAACTCGTTAATTTAATTCTTGAATGATTTAATAATTTCACCAAATATGTTTTCAAACGAATGTTCAATCACAATTATTCAAATTATGCTTTTAGCTTTCGCAATGTTCAGAAAGAAATAGTCTATATTTTAACTTATCTTTCTTATGAAATAAAGTCATAATATTACTTTTGTCATTGATTGGTTAATAAAAAACGTATAAAGTACATTGACCAATCACTATTCGAAAAACGTTACACTATAGTTAGATAAAGGAATGCGCCTTCTTCAGTTGATTCAACCAATACAACCTGCATTGTGTATAATCCTCGGTCGAGATATCGTAGCAGACGACGCTCCAATCGACTTGACAGCACAGTCTGTATTTTCACGTGTCCTCTTGTACATCGCATTGCGTAACTGGAGTCTGACTTCCAGGGAGGAGCTCCCTTTTTCGGTAAGTAATTATTTCAAATAAAATTAAAGCTTAAGGAATGTTTAATAATTATAACAATTTTAATTATCATGTCAAAAATTTTGTCACTATTTATCAACCTACTTCATTTATCACAAACTGTTTTGACGTAGCTTGGCAAATATTTTAACTGATCGGCCAATTGGGCACTACTGAATGAGGTTTTCAACCAATCATAGCGATGTATACATACTTGTCGTGATCAAACAATAGAACTAGGACTCGACATTTGTTACAACATCATAATTGTGCAGTTTACGTGTTTTTATAGAAGATTTAAAAGTGTTAAAATAACAGTTTTATAATTTGCTCAATTTTTAATTTGTACTTAATTTTAATGATATATTATAATTATCATTTAACGCGTCATTAGTAAATGTCGTTTGCAATTAAGATGGGTTAATGAGATTATAAGAATTTTTAAAAAGTATCGCATAACAAATGACTATCTATTTTATTTAATCCGTTAGACATTTAGATTAATATATATTAAATGTTACGTTTTACTATATATTTATTTGTAATAACCTAATCATAATTTAAATTCAAACTGTGTTTAAAGTTTGACATGTCATCCATTAAAAGAAACTATACATATATATGAATGTTAATTTATTTTTTAGTAGCTTTTCACATTTATTTACAAATATATGTACCTTCGTCGCACATAAAAAATAAGAAGAAAAAATTTCTTTCAATATATTGCAACAGTATATAATTACATGCCATCTATTCACGATATACACGCGCGCGCGCATATACATGCATCAAATATATAAATATATTAATCAGAAAATAATCAATTATATATTTAAAAATTTATTATTGATATTCAATCAATTGTTTGTAGCTAATTTTACATCATACGCGAGGAGAAAGTAAAAGTTGATATTTGAAAAACTGCAACAAGATGGCTATTCGCGCCGGTTTTGCGTCTGCTATTCCGTTATGAATTGCGATTTTACTCCACGCGGGCACCGTGTTTTCGAACGCACCTACGTTGATTTCATATGTGACGTTTCCTGATGGGGGCGGAGCGTCCTCCAGCTTCCCAATTCTAACCAACCCGATCCCGATAGCCGTCGCATTCCGCTGACTTGCTTCAGTGTGCCTCGGCAGTGCGTTCGGTGCGTTTTTTGGTGTGTGCTTGTGCACATAGCCACTCACCAACGTACGTGCTTGCGCGAGAATCCATTTCTCTGTTGTGTGTAACGAGGAACATTGTGTTCATAAAAATTATCGACAAGAAGACATTTTTCTCGCAATGCCCTGGGCATGTTTTTCCGACATTCAGGTAATCTTATCTGTAATTAGGAACTTTTTTCCTCTTTTTTCCTTTTTGTCAAGAGCTTGCATACCCAAGTAGGGTTCTCTTTTTCGAGGACCTCAACCTGAGGTCACACGGTAACGAGAGTGGAGAAACGAAAGAGAGAAAGAGACGAAGAAAGAACTCGTCCTCCATTACTTGTTCGCAAGCAAATGGTGGCTTGCTCACTTACGAGTCTTTGTTGTAATTATTTACGTCTTTCGTTGAATCCTCACGGTATACCAAATCTATTCGTGGCTTTGTTGCAATCATGTAATTCTAGTATTCTTAGAAGAGATTGTATGATGTCAACGGCACAATTTTATATTGCCCATAATATTATAAACGGGCACCAGTTGTAGTGTTTGTTATGATTCTTGGGTTTGTTACTATCTCTTTCACCGTGGAGGAAAACATTAATTGCGCATCGCTTCTGCTGTATTATTTAGTCACGCTCCTCTTATCCGAGTGTGCATTGATTTATCATAATAAGTGATTTCTGTTTAATCTACTTTGTCAGAATTATAATACTTTTTTCATTTTTTTTACTTTCAATGCATTATTTAAAAGTAGGTATATATATATATATATATTTTTTTTTTGTTACATTTTTAAATAACCATCCACTCTTTTTTAAATGTACATATATGCTTTTATGTAACAAACATATTTATTTGATTATTTATTACTTTTTTAATTTTAAATACACAATATTTTATTAATTAATGTTAAACAATAACTTATAACACTCATGTTTACCTAAAAAGAAAAAAAAAATATTAAATAATCTAATTTAAATTGAAACAATTATTTTTTTACCATATTTGTATTATTATGTTTTAAAGTAAGAATTATTTGTAGTTTTGTTTTATTTTGTTTTATATTTTAAGTTTTAATTTCCATTTATAGATTATAGTCTTGTCATTATATAATGAATGTAGTGCCAAGGAGTGTAACCATCTCATAATTATTTTGTTTTATTGAAATAACTATATATTTTAAAATGTCTATATAGAATTTTACAAATTTTTATTTTACTTTAACAATTATAACAAATATTCTTTTTTTTTATTACAGACAGAATAGTGGCATGAGTCGATTAATCTATGGCAGATCAACAAGATCAGTCGTCATCAGGGGGGTCTGTAGAGACGGCCAGTGCTTCAGCAGACACCTCTAAAGTTGAGGGGAAGAGCTCTAGCAGTGGTAGTAGTGGTTATAGAAAACGACAAAGCACTGGTTCTATTCCAGTCACGGTAGAAGAGAAAAGACGTAGACAAACTATTAGTGATCCACAATCATCTGAAGTTTTTAATAATACTTCTTATAAACATTCAAGTGATTCAACAGAAAGTAGAACAAAAAATGAATGTAAAAGTCATGGCAGTGGCTTAGAATCATATCTAGGTAATTATATTTATTAATCGATATGAACACAAACCTTACATATTATTTTAATGTATTCTTATTTTAGACTGTCATAATCTATAAAATTTGCTGTATTATAATTTATGATGATTTATTTTTTAGATAATTTTGTAAATAATTTTTTTTATAGATAATAATTGGAGGTCACAACATAAGGTTCAACAATCAAATTATAATATTAGTGGGAACAGTACAAGAGCTCGTAGTACCACAAGAACTAGTTTGCCAGAGTTAAATTTATCAGCTATCGACTGTGTTGCTTCAAGGACTCGTTCTCGTACACCACAAAATCCCCAAGCCATATCACAAGGACATAGTAGTTACAATTTATCACTATCCAGTGGTTACAATAGCAGAGAAGACTTAACATATAACAATTTGGTACCAACATCAACTACTACACCAGTTACTAGTCATCCATCCACATCAAGAGGAAGAGGTTAGTGTATTTATTTGTTTTATATTAAAAAGTGTTGGTTGCAATGAGATGTGATGTGTGATTTGAGTGAACACATAATACAAGTTAAATCAACCTAAAATATATTAAATGTATTTACTTTAATGATTTTTATCTTAAAAACCTATAAAAAGGCATAAATCATAACAATAATAACAGTAATTGATAATTAATTAATATAGAATAATAATATATTTCATATCAGTATTTATTCAATATGCACTTTTTTTTATAAATAAAAATTACATGGGTTCTTTTACTTTAAAAGATTAATCATTTTCCATTTGAATAAGATATTATTTTAAAATTGATGAACTTATGATTTTATACATAGTGAACATTATTTTTTATTTTATTTGTGTATTTGCAATTTATTGATTTGATAAACTTCATCATTTATATTGTTTTATAATTTGTAATAATTAATAATATATATAAGAATCAATTACTTAATAGGTTATTGAAATTAAGAAACATCTTTTAAAAAATTTTTTTTGTTCAAAAATACAATGTTTCTTAAAATTTTAAACAATTATAACTAATTTATTAAAATAATAATTGTTTTTATAATGTCTTAAGAAAGGAAACTTCTTAAAGTAGTTATTAACTAAAATTAGATAAATAAATATTTTAATAATACAAAATTAGCAGAAGTTTTCATAAATAGTTTAAATAATAATAATACTTTTAAATAAAAGTAAAAAATAATACTCATACCTGCAATATATATTTAATACAATAATACTACATAAATTTAGTACCATGATCAATTAAAAGAATCTTCATTCGTATATTAAAACAACGTGTTTTGCAACCTTCATTTAATGAAGTAATCGGTTAAAGTATAGGGTAGTAAAATTAGGATTTGATTCACAAGTATCTTAAAATTAAAGAAAAAAAGTATTACCAAAATAAGAGTCATAGATCAGACTGTATCATTAGGCCTGAGGATGAGCGAATGTCTGGAAGGATTTGTGTCTGCTGTCAAAGCACTTTTTCCAATATCAACACAAACGTATCATCAAGAAGGTAAGCCTAAGGAGTACACACTTCGTACTACATTTTCTTACCCTTATTTTCTCTTACAAATTCATGAGTAGAATTTTTTTAAATGACTACGAATCACTATAAATTTATTCTCTAAATT